TTCAGAGAATTTCTTGCAACTAAGTTATGAGACATCGGTGAATATTAATGAAATTTTTGACACCTACTTGTTGAAATGACAGACCAAGAGTCGCTGCTTTCATCCACTTTTGTAAGAAGAATAGTATCGTAACGATAGAACATTCCGGAGACCATCGTCACACCATTTTCAACTGCCTTGTGCATTTATATGATTTTTGTACACATTTTTGTATACATTTTATGATTGTATATTGAAATATTTTCTAGCGCAGTTACCTCACAGTTTCTTCTTTTTGCGGCCTGGTCGAGGACAGCCAGATGTCTCTTGGGCTGGGGGCCACCAGCAAGTTCTTATCAACATAAACCTTGGCAGGCTTCCGGGGATCCTCAGAAGGACAGAAGTGCAGGGACAAGGGAGGGGACTCCATCTCCAGACACCTTCTCAATTTGCATAATAAAAATGAGGCGATACATTAATTATTCTAGTCAGTTGTGTCTCCTAGAGAGGAGAGGGCAGTCAAAGAAATAGAACAGATGTGTGAAGAAGAGGAAAGAGATGAGAACTTTCCAAGGTCAGCTGAGCCTGCTGGTTGATATCCAGGCTCCTGGAGAATGGTCTTGAAGCAGGATTCACAGCAAATGACAGCCAAGGGCAGGCGGGCAGGCAGAGACAGTCACAGAGCTTTGGATCCTGTTCAGCTTCGATCAGGACCGCTCTGACATTGCATTTGTTTGTTCGTTTGTTTATGTTGTTTAGAGTCTACCTTTCTCAGTGAGACTCAAGATGGGTGCTGTGAGTCCTGAAGGGAGCTACAGATAGAAAGAGAATTCCTCATATCGTGATGACGTTTACACTTTGCTGCACAGCTTTAATGCACAGGAATGTCTGTGCAAAGCTTAATGGAATATGTTATGTTCTTCTCACTTTCTGGGTAATGTTTGGGGATTCACCAGAATCAAGTAGTAAAGCTCCTGGATTGAATCATTCCAGGCTTTAGCTGAAAGAATCCAAAACTGGAATGTTCGTGCTTGAGCTGGGGAGGGAACTCTCTTACCAGAAAAATAACTGGCAAGTCAAGGAAAGGAGTTCAGCCAACTCTTTCCCCTGGCATGCTACTTTTCTGAATGCAGGAGGTGAGATCTGCAGCATCAGTGGCAGTATCAGTATAAGGTTTTCCCTGCTAGCCATAAAAGCTAAATCAGGAATGCAGGATTCTCCAGCTTCCTCAAACCTTCTGGTGAGGGCAAGGTGAAATGTCCTTTCTTCACTGTGTGTAAAAACTTCCGTGTGGAAATGCCATCCAGGTCGGCAGAAGGATTTCTGTCTGCCTTGCATCCAAAGGCATAACATGGTCAATCGCTTGGTCATCGGAGGAAATTTCAGCTTTCAAAATACACAATCTGCTTCGTCGGCAATGATGGCTGATAAAACAAGGAGGCTGCTGACTAAAGGGCATGGGGGGATTTAGCATCTCTTGCAGTCAGTGATCACTTGATGCAAACAAACCACAATTAAGTGCACTCAAGTGAGCGTTTTGTCACAAAATCTGGGTGATGAAATAGTGGATTTATACCACTCTGCTCATTATATGTGGCATTGATATATTCGGGATGGAGAGTCAATCCTCTGGTCATGACTTTGCATACAAAGTCAGGGCTTGGCAGATCCTTGCATATGTCTCTTGGGATCAGCTTCCATTGCCTGTGAATGCAGAGAAGTCATCATTCTCTCAGATATCACAAAGCTCAGTGACATGACTCGTTACTGACTTTGCCTTGCTTTTTCCCCTGCAGGTGATGCTCCCTACTGCACCCCTGAGCAGTACAAGGAATGTGCAGACCCAGCCCTTGGTAAGCACCACTTACAGTACAATCCTGTGCAGTGTTACTCCAGTGACTTTGCATAGGATGCAGTGTTCCCTCTAAGCTGAGTTAGTGTGAGCTAGCTCATAGTTTTTTTACCCTCCAGCTCACACATTTTTTTCTTAGCTTAGGAAGGACGGCTCCAGAGCAAACTGATTTATACAATGGCCAAATTACTTGCTCACAACTTTAATGCCAGTAGCTCACAAAGTAGAATTTTCGCTCACAAGACTCCACAGCTTAGAGGGAACATTGAAAGGATGTCACTGCAAGTTGCTTTGCTGGATTAGGCCCAAAGGGTCCAGATAACTTCAGCACTCCCTACACTAACCAGAGAGGTATCCCCAGGATGAGCACAAGGAATTCATAGTGGATTTTATTTATTTCAGGGGTTCAGATCCCATCTAGTCCAAAGAATACCTGGCAAAGTAGTGGACATAGTCAATCCCCTGTTGAATCTGGTAATCAGAGCAAACATCAGAACTGGGTGCATAATAGTCATGGCCATTTCCTGTTGCTCACCACTAGCATCTGGTATTTAGGTGTATAATGCCTTGGAGGTTCCATTTCTCTATCTATCTATCTATCATCTATCTATCTATCTATCATCTATCTATCCCTCCTTTTCTCTCCAATAGGAACTCAGTGGCTTACAACATGGTTCTCCCCACATCCATTTTATCATCACAACACCATGGATAATAGCTGTTGATAGAGCTTGTCTTCCATGAATTTGTCTAAAGCTGTCTAAACGGCCATCACCACATCACATGACAGTGAACTCCATGTTAATTTATTGCACTGATCAATGTCTTTGAATGATTCCAAGCTCTGGTATTCAGAGAGAGAGAGAGAGAGATTCTTTGCAGAATCTGGAGGTTCCATTCTTACCTGATATGGCTAGCAGCCATTAACAGGCCTATTCTCCACTAATATATCTAACTGTGTAATCCTTAGTGGAGTTAACATGCTTCTAAGCCCATTAACTTTAATGGACTTAATGTATAACTCTACTTAGGATTGCACAGCAACCCTTCTTAACATTCTTAACTGCAGGATCCTGTAACTATATCTCTATGGCATGTCTTTAGGCATTATTAGTTCCTGAATGCTGGTCTTTCATCTTGCAACCGAGTCACCATACTTAATCAGAAGTCAATCTCATTTATTATGGTGGAACTAACTTACAAGGAAGAATACTTAGGATCACAGGCAAAGTGAGAGAGCAAATCAGTTTTCTGTTGGAAAGGGCTCTCTGCCTCTTAGTATATTATTACCCTAGATTTCACCTCCAAGCCGAATGTAACTGAATGTTGATGAATGTCAGCATATTTAAACTGTCTAGTTTGGCCCAGTGAATGACTGAGAGGCACCTGATGCTCTATGCATAGACTGAAGCTAAAGTGGACTGGGAGTCCCATCGCAGGAAGCATTGTGCTTTCTAAAGGAGAAGTGAAAGTTTGCAGTTCCTACAGCAGTTTTTCCTCCCTGTTCCCCCTCCACATGTGACACATTTTACCCCTGTCCATTCCTAGCTTCTTTCAGTCACTGCCCCGTATTGTGGAAGCAGGAAGCAGTTCAGCATTTTAGCAAGGTTCTTTCTAAGAAGGGCTTGGCAAGCAGAATGAAGTTTTTGGGGAGATGACAGATTCCTATGTGGTTGCTCCTTTGGAGCTTTGTAAATATTTTGTTACTGTCTTTGGTACTTCGTTTTCATCTTATTTTATTCACTTCATCTATGCCCCGCCTTTCTCCCCAGTAGGAACCCAGAAAGGCTTACGTCATTCTCCTTTCGTTTTATCCTCACAATAACTCTGTGGGATACGTTAGGTTGAGTGTGTGTTAGGTTGAATGTGTGTTAGGTTGAGAGTATGTGACTGAGCCCAGGTTACCCAGCAAGCTTCCATGGCAAAGTGGGAATTTGAAGCTGCATCTCCCAGATCCTAGTCCAACACTGTAACGCTGTCTCTCAACTATCTTATCCCTTGGTCTCATGGCTCTGTTTTATAAGCCACTTCAGGCTACATAAGAAAGGCTGGATATAAATGTTTTCACATTTTCCCCACTGCTCCCAAAGTATTGAATTTGTTTGTGTTTTGTTTGGTTTGGTTTGGTTTTGCACCCACTCCATGTGACTCCTGCCTTCTGCCCCAGACTTCTTGGTGGAGAAGGACAATGAGTACTGTGTGTGTGAGATGCCTTGCAATGTCACCCGCTACAACAAGGAGCTCTCCATGGTCAAGATCCCCAGCAAGGCCTCAGCCAAGTACCTGGCCAAGAAATACAACAAGAGTGAGCAGTACATTGGGTGAGTACCTCTGTTGCCCTCAGCCCCCACCCACACCACAATGCTGTTGAGTTGAGTGCAAAGGTCCGTTCTTTTAGAGCAGGGGTGTCAAACATGCAGCCCAGGGACCACATCAGGCCCCCGGAGGGCTTCTATCAGGCCCACAGTGGAACTGGCTGTCTTCTGCTTCTTCTTCCAGTTCTGCTGCCGCTGCATCATCGTAGGTTTGCAGCTTACAGATAGACACCTGAACAGCCTACTCAAGATTGCAACAGCACAGACATTTTGATGCAATAATTCAGAGCAAGAGGTGTCAGTTATCAGACACTGTTAAATAAACTAAGTATTGCAAGAGTGCTAATGTTTGAAGCATGTTTTCATTTTAAGTAAACCCTTTGTGTTTGTGTCCTTTATAAAGTTTATATCTCTGCTAACCTGGCATTACATTTTATGACACGCATGACTCGACCCAACAAGTCTCATTTATGTCAGATCCGGCCCTCATAGCAAATGAGTTCGACACCCCTGTTTTAGAGGGACCCTTCCTCCAATGCAAGGAGCCTTCTTCTAGTGGGTGTTTCCCCACAATGGAGGGTTCCTTGCCCCAGAGGAAGGTGATGAAAGAATGGAGCCCTTGTATCCAACCCTGTATCTCTGCACTTTTAATTCCTCCTCTACTCTGGCCAGGCCCTCCACCTGTTCCAACCAATCTGCAAATGGCTGCATCCGCCATTTTCACAGCTGTAAAATCAGTTTATTGTCTTCCACGCCTTAAATAATGAGGGTGTTGTTGTCATTAATGGCATCATCAATACTGATATATTTATATATATTGGAGATATAACGGGAAAATTATATCTTAGCAAGGTGAGGGAATAGAGACTTACTTTTAAAAAAAAATGAAAGCTGGGAATTTAGAAAACCTGCTGATTTTCTGCTGAACATAAATGTATTTTTTGCTTATATCAATATATCGATACACTGATATAAGGGTTTTATTTTTTTTTAATCGATTTTCAGGGCAGGGGGTAGGAGAGGTAGTGGTTTGACGATGATGACAGTTGAATCCTCAAAAATTGGGCTTGGGTGGGTGGGAGTGAACGGGACAAAGAAAACCAACAGAAACATTATGCACGAGGGAAAAGGTGACTCAAAATTGGCTTCCAAAAAAAGATCATGGTAAAAGTTGTCTCAAAAGAACTAGGGAAAGCAAAAACAAACAAACAGGAATACATTTTTTAAAATAAGCGAAAACTAAAAGCACAAAAATGCATATGGAAATCAGGGGACAAACCAAAGCAGTATGGGTCGAGAACTGACTAAAATACCCCATGCAGAAAAGCCCAGAGAGAGAAATGTAAACTGAACTAAATGTGTTTTGAGCTGCAAATGATTCTTTATTGGTGAACTTTAAAGTGTAATGAGCAGACAGTCCCAACACTAAAAAGAGTCTACAAATCATTACCCACCACTGGGACCCAAAACCCAGAGACAGACAATAGTGGCATCTCTAGAGAGCTGAAGGCAGTCCACCCGAAGGAAACAAGTTTTACAGAATGTTGTTTCCAAAAACTGTTTGACCCGAGGATACAGTGTGGCAACGCAAGTATGTGTTTACGTCAAAGGAAGAGATGCTTCACTCAAGTCACATTCAACTCTCTTAACAACTATTTTCTGTCTCCAGGCTAAGATTATGTCAATTCATTAACACATTCACTGTCTACCCTTTCCAATGAGTCACTCTTGTACAGTTGCGCCTTTCAACCTATTCTTATATTTTGGTCCTTTCAAACTCTATATTGTGATGGATCCGTCTTTCTTGAAGTCAAAAACTCAGTGCCTTTGATTGGCATCAACTAGATCCTCATATTTTAGAGCCAGGCAGGCAAATGACCATGTTGGTATATCCACAGGTTTGTTGTGGGCCAGTTCCTTTGTGAATGTCAAGCATGCTCTTGTTGTAGTGCCTATCACCTCCCTTCTTCTTATGCAGGGAGAACATCTTGGTACTGGACATCTTCTTTGAGGCTCTGAACTATGAGACCATTGAGCAGAAGAAAGCATATGAAGTGGCTGGACTTCTGGGTGAGATAACCTTTTTGGCCAGCAACTACTGGGGATCCTGCATGACTCCAACCTTCCCCAGGTGTGACACACACACCCCCATCGGCTCAGTTCAGTGCCCAACTAGCTACAATCTACAAAACACACACAATCATGGCTGCAGCCCTTCTGCAATTCCACATTTGCACCTGACAAGTGCAAAGATTAGGATTAGTTACCAAATGTGGCATCTTGAGAATTTCAGTTTTCACTCTTTCAGAGAGCAGATTTCTAGATCTTAAGCTGTCAACGATGGGCATAAATGATGGTTGGTGAAAAAGGAAGTTGGGGAAAGAAGAAGAAAGGAGTGATTTCCAGTAGTCAGCATGCTAGACTGCATAGCTATTGCTCCTCGTCCCTACTAGAAGTAAAATAAATTGTACAAAATAAGGAAATGTATGCAAATTGGTGTGATTTATACAGATCACAGAATCCAGATGTTAATGTGTAAAGAGTTTTGCTTTGTTGTTTTAAGGATAAAGCATTTGAAGCCCTGTACATAGTGGCTGGTAGCAACTAGGCCAAACTGGAGGGAAAGGACTTGGCTCTGGAGCCCTGGGAAAATCAAAGATGCATCCTGCACATAAGGTCACCAGACTGTGGCTTTAAAAATATCCTGATTGGGGTGGAGTCAGGAGTGGGGTTTAACTGGTGAGGGGTGGAGCCTGATAGATTTTTGGCAAGTTAGGGGTATGTCAGCAAGTTTTGATGTGCCAGGGAGCACAGCCCAGTATATCAGGCTGTGGGACCAACAGATGTGCACTCCTACCTCTGCCAGGTCAAAATACGTTGTTTTCAACAAAGTCCTTGAGTCAAAAATTCTGGATGGAGGGTTGGTTAACCCAGTCTCCAGAACCGTAGAAGACTTCTAAAATCAGCTCTGGTCATCTGGGGTCATGAACTGCCCCTGGGAAGCTCAGGAGGCACACCAGATCTCAGTGCCTCATTACTATTGCCCACTTTCTTGTTGTCTGCAGGTGACATTGGGGGACAGATGGGTCTGTTCATCGGAGCCAGTATATTAACTGTCCTTGAGCTCTTTGACTATGCCTACGAGGTGAGTTCAAGCCCCCGGAACATAAGGGGGAGGAAGGGTGCAGGTTTGCTTGTGGCCTAGAGACTGGCCTGAAGGGTCCTGGTGAAGTTCTAAGAAAATCTGGACCTGTAAACTGCCTAGCCAGGCAACTTCCTGGGAACCATGTGTGACCTCCCGGAAGGAAGTGACCCTTGCCATCCCATCTCACTGAGATGCTCCCTCCAGAAATATGCCTGTTTTCTTGAAGGTTTTCAGTTTACTGTGCTGGCAGTGTTGTGGGGCTCCCAGTTTACGTCTCTCTCCCCCAGCAACATTCCCACTGCACTGAGATACCACTAAGTCTGGCTCTTTGCAACTCTGTCCTATGTCTTTTAACACTAAGCCAAGATAGTCTCATTGTAGCCACAGCAATAGCAGTAGGTTGGACATCCCCCCACCACACACTCTTCTCGCCACTGCTTGGAGATGTTTACCTAATGCTGGGCTCCCTTATTACTCCTTCCTCCATTTTCCTTCCTATGCTGAAGCTCATGTCTGTCCTAGGAAGTACCCACACCTCCCCTTTGCATTCCCAAGCTCGTTTCTGTGCATATCCATCCTGGAATACTGTCATATTAGGCAGTTTTCCCTATTTAAAACAAAAGTGTTGTTAGTTTGTTGCTTGATTCAGACATAGCAACAAGCCAAGATTTATTTTAGCTATGGCTAATTTGAGAAACCATAATTCTGCTCACAGATGACCATTCAAATCCTAATTGTTGGTTTCAAATCCTTTGCTTTCTCTCTCTCTCTCACTTCCCAGCCTGCCCTGTACCAAGGGTGGCACCAGAGAACAAACCAGGATATTTGCATCTGTGAGTCACACAAATCCATAGTTAAGATTAACTAATAAACCAAGTTCAAGCCAGGGTTTCTGATCCCAGTTTGCCATAGCCTAATTACCCATAATTAGTGGAGTGGCCCACATTTAGACAATCATGCTGAGCATAGTTGGGTTAATTAAACCATGGTTTTGAATGACTTCTGAAACAAGCCACATTGTGCATGAAAGTTCTGGCTACCACAAGTTCTGCAACAGTAGGTATACCATTTTGGAACATCACATAAGAAGCAACCAAAACATCCTCTAACTCCATTTCTAGGTTATTAAGTACCGTCTCTGTCGCCGTGGCAAGTGCCAGAAGAAACACAAAGGGAATAACAGTGACAAGGGTGTGGCCCTGAGCCTGGATGATGTGAAACGCCACGTGAGTGTCTAAACTCAGTAATGCTTGCCCTATAGTAAAATGAGTCACTTATTCCAAGGCCCCGCTCTCCAGCATCTTAAGAGCCTTGTCCATTGTTGATATATAGGATTTGTACACGTGAAGGGATGAAGCTGTTTTATGTTCAATCAGACTGTTGGTCAGCCAAGGTCAGTAGTTTCTCTTTTGAACTAGAGTTGCTCTCCAAGGTCTCAGACAGAGGTCTTTGAAATCACCTACTGCCTAATCCTTTTAATTGGAGATGCCAGGGATTGCACATGGGACTTTCTGCGCGCCAAGCAGATGTTTTACTGTTGAGCTATGAACATAAGAATATAAGAGATGCCAATGTTGGATCAGGCCAAAGGCCCATCCAGTCCAACACTCTGTATCACACAGTGGCCAGAAATACCAGTGCCATCAGGAGGTTTATGCTTTAAACTGTCATAAGTTTCCCCAAAGATTCTGGTAATTGTAGGTTGATGAGGATCCCAAGGGTTCTCTGTAATAGATCCGGCCCTGCCCTGCCCCCAACTTCAGTCCCAGAGGAAAAGGAATGGCTTTTAAACTAGTATAACTGGAATGCTGTGAAAGTGGATTGAGAAAATGATCAGTAGGCACAGTTTGCTGCATGGTGAAGTGGACATCTGTAGCCTCTGACCAAGCTTTGGCAGACAGCTGGAAAAATCCAAGGAGGCCCAAGACTGGTCATTCGGTGCTGTGGGTTCTGACATAGCAAATGACAACCTCCCCCAATGGTTCCAGGTGCCAAATGGTAAGTTTTTAAGCAGCTATCCCATGGCTTCTTTGGGCGCGCACTTATGAAGCTGCCTTCACCCAAAACCCTGCCTGCCCAGTAGGTTCATTGCATCCAAAACAGCCACACATAAGCAAGGCTCTGGCGGAAGTGAATTAAGAAAGTTCCCCAGAGGTGAGCAGAGAAGACAGGAGGGGGCCAGATAAACCCAGGGAAGAAAGAGCTGCAGGAAGCCTTTGGAACATCTTATCTGCTAGCTCTCTCTTCCTGCCTCATTGTCCCTGTTCCTCCCCCTCTGAACCACTCCGGCAAGTAGCTACTAGAGAGAGAGAGGATAAGCAGGCAGAGTCAGAAAAACAGCCAGGTCTGCTGACATTCTCCTCCACCTTTCTCAGAATTCAGAATTCTCAACAGGCAAAACCTGGCTTGTAAGTGGCTCTTTCAGATGCTAAGAATGTCCTGGGTGGTTTGTTTTTTTTACCAGACTGTGGCTTGGATCCTGCCAAAAATATTCACTGGCAGAAAGATTTCCGTTGCAGAGAGTGCAACTTTCTCGCCTTCGGCCCTTTTGCTACAGCCCAAAATACTGCTCCAGGGAAATGAAGCCCCTCAGAGAGAACCTGAAGGGGGCATCAGAGGTCTGCCACAGGATGGGGAAATGGGTAGAGACACACACACCCTTCTGTCAACAGAAATCCAACCCCACTGATCTGTCTCGCCCAGGGCTGTCTGATGGCTGGCCGCTCTCACCAGTCCCCACCACTCAGCTACATCCATATTCACCCAGCAGCTCCTGCTCTTTGCTTTCCCACTCTCTAAAGATGCCGACCATCCCATTCGCCTCTGTCCCCATCATACCACATCCTTGTTCTCGGGCAAAGCCCATTTGTCTTTACCCTCTGCCAAGTAACTGCAGACAAGCGAAAATTGGGTAGGCAAAACTTTCCCCATGCCTAAGAAAAGTTTCATCTCCCGAATTTTGATTGTACATACAACTGTTAGAGGTTCAGAGGCGCTGAGATGAGGGAAAAACAGCAACCCTGGCATCTATACCCCAGGGATGGCTCTCGTCTGTTATTTGTAGTGAGTGGCAAATGCTCTCTTGACAGCAACATTCTACGTTCTAATCTACTCCTCCCTCTCTCCTGCTCTCCCAGAATCCATGCGAGAATATCCGAGGGCATCCAGGTGGCATGACGTATGCAGCCAACATCCTACCTCACCACCCAGCCAGGGGCACTTTCGAGGACTTTACCTGCTAACTGACACCTGGATGTACAACCAACGCTACCAAAGGGAAGGGCCCGTGCTGAGCAGCCCTGGCCCAGCCCAGCCCATGAACCTGCCAACCTACATGTCGGGGCCTCTCTCTCAGACTCCTGGGGAAGCTGCTGAATCCAGGCCCTCCTCATCCACCTTCCCCAGGCTGAGGCAGCGATACGCACACAGAGCCAGGCGGACAGAAGTGTGGGGAGGGTCTGTGCTGCCAGGTCCACTCCAGTAACTGCTCTTGCCCCAATAATGGCCTTGGACTTGAACTCAACAGAAGAGCTGCCAGAAGAACCTTCTGCTGTGTCAAGCGGAGGGGAGGGCACAGCCTTCTCCCGTCCACACACACACACACACCTTCACATCTTGACTGTCTGTCTCTCCCTCTGTCTGTCTTCATCCTGCTTCGGGCCCACAACAAGCCTCACTGGAGGGCAGTCGTCTAGAGCGGACCCTTCTCCTTTTGAATCTTGATGCCAAGAAGAACCTACAAGAGTGCCAGCCAGGCTGTTCCTCCGTGGTGTGCCATTTGTAGGGACTGCTTTGCCTAGCCAAAGGAGGTGCGTGCCGCATCGCTCCCTTTCCTTTCCCTGCCTCCCTTGCTATGTATTGTCAGGGGGCAGAGCCATATCTGTTCCCTTATGGCAAGACTGTGACCGAACCTGTGAAGGGGCCCCTCAGTTAGAACATGTTATCGTCTACTTGTCTCATCCAACTAGCAACTTCCTGTCCGACCCAGCTTAGATTCCTTTCCATGTCTAAGTCGAGTCGCCACCACATGAGGCAGATGAAGGAACCATGGAGGAGATGTCGCAAAGTTGAAAACATCAGCTTTGTGAACTGCCTGCCCCCCATCCCACCCGTGCATGTTCTTAGGGATAATGTGAAGATTCTGCAGGTTCAGCGAGAATTCCTCAAAATTCTCAGTAGGATACAAAACCAAATGGTTTCCAGTGTATTTCTCCACAAGGGTTCCTTGCCTGCTGAAAGGAAAAGAAAGCAGCTGACGTGTAAACCCTGCATCACTTCCCACAACCCTTAGCCCAGTCCTGCAGCAAGGAACAGGACATTGTCGTTCTTTGGCTACACAGAATTGTAGGGGTGACGTAGATCAGTTCCTGCCTGTTGGACTCAGCACCAGGGCAGCAGGAATCTCTAAGAAATTTAGATCAGTAACTCTGCTCAAATACACTGCAGGAAACACATTGCCCCTAAATACCTATGGGCAACCATAGTTTATCCTACCTTATGGCTAGCAGTTTGCTGGTGATAAACTACCACCACTAGGAAAACACAGAGGTCCCCAGAGAAATATGTCCAAATCATGTAAAACTTTTGCACCCTCAGCACTGACAGGAAAAAGGGCCAGCTCAGGGAAGTGAAGAAGTCACTCCTGGAAGTTTCAGCAAGTCAGGTCCCCGGGATCCATCTAATGCAGAGGTCTTACAGAAATGCCAAGTCCTTTTTTTTTTTGCAACATCCTTATTCCAACCTGATTGTGGAGTCACCCAAACTGCTGTCAAGCCCCTCATTTGCCAAGAGCAAACACTCCCTTGGGAAAGAAGTCTTCTTAGACTGGGATTTGGGAGGGTTGAATGATACCATGGAGGGGAGGACAAAGGTGATTTGATCTTCCTTTGTGATATTTGTATTTGGTATGGCCTGCCATGTAACCCATGCCTAGTAAGCAAGGCAAACCTAATCAAGGCAAAGAAGACAGACTGATGGTGTTGAAAGTTATCACTGAGAATGGCAAAACTGTACTTTCCCCCAATGGACCTGCCATCTTTCCCTGACTCTTAGCTGTAGTTAAGCATGATTTAAAGCCATGTTGTTTTGGAGGGGGGAACCAGATTTGTTATCCACAAACCAACCACAAAGCATAACCAATGCAATAAAACCGTCTCTGGTGAATCGGCCCTGTTGGAGGAGGGAAAACTCACCTGGAATTTTGTTTTATGAAATGAATCTGAAGCAACCTTGTTCAGCCTGCTCTGTTCTTAGAGAAGGTGTCCAGAAAGTAGGATTGCCCAAATCACCAAGGGAAGACACAGCTCTCTCAAAATTTAGTAGGCTGGGGAGCAAGGTTTGGGCCACCAAACCTACATCCTCTGTAACCTCACCTTCAGCTTGGATGATGAAGTCCTTTCAGTCTCCCTGTCCATGGGCCTGCTGGGGTTTGTCCAGATTCACTTGAGTGGGAGGAGTCATCAACAGTCAGAAAGTGACTCAGGATTGCCTGGGATAAGCCATAGTGGGCAAGTGCATGATGGGTCTTCTGATGGGGCATGGACCTGGACTTCTCATCCTTTCAGGCTTTATGCCTAAAGAGAAAAGGAAGACTAAAGAAATTCTGAATGATTTAAATTAAGGAGGTTAAACTAAGAGCTGAGGGACCCGTTCCCTGTGGAAACCCAGAAGTCCACCCTCAGCCCCACAGAATCCCCAGGCCTCGATGACACAGGGGCACTCCTCATGAAAACTGCCTCTCGATCCGTTTTGCCTGGTCAGCCCTTTGAGGGCTGCTGCCTAATGGGAATGTGCCCGCAATGGATTTCTTGTTTCACTTTGAAAGGAAATCAACTCCCCTCCACCTGGGCCCCACAGCATCTAGTGCCTGCCCCACTTCCCAGCACAGTCCAGTCTTTTCCCCAAACATCAACCCAGATCTGCTGCATGTGCAGCCCCAAGGGCCAAAGTTCTCCTTATCTTTAAGAGCTTTTGCAATAAAATCTCATTCTTTTTGTACGGTTTTTTAAAATTCTTTGATCCTTATTATTCCAGAGTTTGGATTGGGATTGTTAGGATTGTGTGAAGGTTTGTTTCTACTTGGCCTCCTGAATCAACCACGGCCCCAGAGGTCCCAAAGATGCTGCAGCCTTCCAGGGGGTTCTTTCTTCGGAGTGTTTTGCATTGGCTTTCCTTCCAGTTCTTTCTACTTTTCTGCTTGAAAGCTTTTGAAGATAGGGCTCGAATTTGACCTTTTTTTGTTTTTAAGTTGTATGTCCATTTTTACTACATCATGCTCATTTTATATTTCTTATATATAAAATATATGATATATATTATTATATATATGTACATATATATATATATATACACACACACACACCTCTATATGCATCATGTCAGTGTATATATCCATCTAGTAGCATCAAAAGCCTTGATATTGTGCCATTATTATTTCTTTTTTCAACTACCAATCTCTGAATGCCTTCAAGTGTATAAAGTGTTGAATTATCTCTGGTATCTGTACTATGTACACATTTTCATAGGAAGCACAAGAAGATGACAAAATGCATTGTATATCAAAATTTGCTCCTCTTAACAATGATATAAATGATATCAACCATGGAGACTCAGCCTGTTCCTCCTTAGATGGACTGCAAAAATCCATCATTATTAGGATTGTTCTTTTATTTTGCTTTGTTGTGACACTGCCATAGAGCTGGTTCCCACTGCTGGCAGCAGTCATTTATACTCAATTATACAATGCCCAGACATGGCCAAAATGGCAGCTCCAGGATTTGAAGAAGCCCCTAAGCAAGGCATTTACTGTTCAGAAGATTACAGGGGGGTGGGGATGGACTGCCTGTACCTTCTGTGATAGACTCTGGAGCTATGCTTTGTCGAATGCTACTTTCTGAACCCACGACTTGGTTTTCCTAGCTCTACTACAAGAATGGGAGTCAGGAGTGGAGACTGTAGATTTTATTAAGGGCCCCTACCCTTCCCCTTCATACATTTAAACACTGAAGTCACCCTCGTTGTTAAGTCGTGCGCTTAACAAAGAGTCGGAGAGTGATTTCAGCAAGAATGCGGTTTATTCTTCAGCTCAGTTACTTCTCCGTTACGGTACAACGATCGCCAGCCAAAACCCATCAAAGTATTTACACTGGCTTGTCGATATTTAAACACTCCCGGCTAATGTAGCCACACCCCCTGTACAGATAACAACCTATGAGGTTGAAGATATAATACCCAATCACAAGCGGTCCCGCTTTGCATAGTGATTGGTAGACACTCTCTGGGCTAGGACTCCTATTGGTTACATTAGGATCCTAGCCCAGGCTGAAGCTTAACATTAGGTTTCAATTAGACGATTCGCATGTCAGTATTTACATTCAAGTCAATACATAACACTCGTAATTTCAACATTGAAATCTCCCTTAATCTGATGGAACCCATGCAGGCAAACATAATTCTTCCATGCTGCTTCTGATTTTCTAAGATGCTCTGTGCAAAGGGAGAGTGGTACCACTGTTGGAATGGTAGGTCCTTTTGAAAAACTTGAGGCCACAGCAAACACACACACACACACCCTTCACTGCAACTGGTCTTGACAGGCCTGTGCCTTTTTTAGATCTCTGGGATTGGTGTGATGGTTGGTGTGTTGGACTAAGATCTGGGATACCCAGATTCAAATCCTCACCCTGCAGTGGACATTTGCTATGTGACCTTGGGCTGGTCACGTACTTTTCCTCTTCTTCAGCCCACCCAACATACTTCATATGGGTTTAGGGGGTAAAATGGGGAGGGGAGAATCATTCTGTAAGTCACTTTGGGTCTCCACTGGGGAGAAAAGCTGGGTATAAATATCTAATAATAATAATAATAATAATAATGCTTCTACAGAGAAGCAGCCAAGGGTAGGTAAAGCCCTCCACTTACATGAGCACTGCTTATGGGCAGTTTTGTCTACGGTGACTGGCAAAAACTCTCCAGCATCTCAGGCAGATCCTTTTAACTGGGGATGTTGAGTGGGACTGAACCTGGGACCTTCTGCATGCAAAGCAAAGCATGCAAAGCAGATGCTCCACCATTAAGCCAAGGCTACTTGCTGTATGAACAAATGCAGACTACATGCACAATCAGAAGACTTCTTTAAGCAAGTGCTTGTATAAAATTGTGCATGCAATAATTTTGTGGAGGGTTAATTAGAAACAAACAGTCTTCATGAGATTGGCAGGCACATGACAGGATCAAGATGTAC